AACGACCAAACCCCAACCCCAACCCCAAACCCAAACCCCATATCCAAACCCCAAACCCAAACCCAAACCCCAAACCCAAACCTTTACCCAAACCCAAACCCAAACCCTAATGAAGAAAATTGATGATTTATGATGGCATCCTTGAGGGAGTTGTAATCCTTGAAACTCTTTGAAAAGAATCCTTTTGAATATTATATATTAATGACTAGACTGAAGATCTTCATCAACAATTCATTCTGTTTGTGATTTAACAATAATGGATCGGATAAATTTTCTTCCTCTTCTCCTGGATTTGATACTCATAATACTGATCACTGCTTCGTTGTGTTGTTAGATTTTTTGAGCATCTTAAGTCAATTTATAAAATGTAATAATTAATGAGCTAGTTAATAGTATAACAGCTAAGCATGGCATTTATTTCAAAAATCATTGTTTTCTCGTTGATAATTTCTATTTAATTGGAGTTTGAAGCTAATTATGTTTGTAATTGAGGTTTAAAACTTTTTATTATTTCTCATCAACTATTTTGATTGTAGTGACTATCAATATTTATGTTGAACATATCTTCTTTGCTAGATATTGACAATATAACTACCACTTTTATCAGATTATTCTTGCACAATTACTTAAACCTATCGATTTGCACTGCCAATGACTCCTTTTTTTTGCACTTGTATTAAATTGAAATTTTATGTGTATCCAGAAATATAAACTTTTGCTGATTTCAAGACAATTCGTCAACTGAACCATGCAAATTTGAATTATCAATAAATATATGCATTACAAATTATGATAAAAAACTCTAATTGTGCAACTTTCTTCTTTTCAAATCTTTGCTCATATAAACTTTGTAAATCATCAAACAATTGTTAATCTTAAGCACATGCTTTATGCTAATGATTTGCTTTTTTCATGGGAATTGGTTGTAAAGCAGCTGTTTATTCTTACTCTAATTGTAGTACAAGCTATTTATTTGATTCATGTTGCCATTCTTAAAGTAATTTCAAAAACCATATTTTGTTCCAGAATTATTATCTATTATCACATTGCACCATTCAGATATTAAATTTTGCCACTTATTCTATAAATGCATATACATTTATATGGGCATTAAATAGAAGCTTTTCAGATCATATTGCAAAGTATTTGATTTTATTTGATATTTTTTCTATTGTAAATTTATTAATAAAGATTGCAATCAAGCTTCCTGTTAATAATGTTGCGACAGTCTTTTTAAGTTCATAATGTTTGTGTTTCAGCAGTGCACCACCAATTTCTTTAGCATGCTATGAATTTTGTTTATTTCTTAATACAACATTCTTAATCGCTTATTAAAGTGCTAAACTTCTTTGATAATTATAGTATTTAAAAAGAACAAAGTTCAATCCAAGCTGATAATGAAAGCAGAGAAACTAATGCAATCAAAAAAATATTAATGGATTTGCATCATGTTTGTCTTAAGATAAATGCAGTACATATTGGGTTTAAACTGAAAATTTGGCAAACCAAAGCAGGAACAAGTTTATCACATTATATTATAATTATACTAGTGAGTTGTACAATAAAACAGAAATTTATATTCTTAATCTCTTTATGAGAATAGTTCTACTAGTATGGACAGCAAGCTACATTTAGAACCAACTATTTGTATACAGTCTATCTAGTTAATGTAATCCTTGTTTATATAAGTTTTGCCCTGTTTGTTATTCAGTAATTGAGCGAGATTCTTTTTACAGTATTTTAACTACTCAGTTTATAAGCTCTTTTTTGAAAGATTTGTGATATTAATTGTTAATTAGTAGCTTATTTCAATTATTTTTTACTGCTTGATTGCAACAAGCGCTTTAGAACTTAATAACTGTATCTACTCCTAATTAGAGCTATTATATCAATGCGTAGTTGTCGCATCTTGTAGACGAACTCAAACCTGCTATTTTTCTATTAAATTAAAAAGCGTAAAATTATTCATGTTTGGACTTAAGATGAATTCAGGACAAAATTGTGACACTCACTCGTCAATCATGATAGCAGTAGAGGTGGCTTTCAAGTTACTTTTAAGAAGCATGTTGTAAGAAAGTACAAGAAAGGCTGTCAGTTAAAAATTTATATTGATAATCAACTTATATCATATTTAGCAAACAGTTTTTAATAATGTATTATGACAATTCTGGTTCATCTTTGTTTAACGATATAACTTGTATAATATTTGATTCCGGATGTTCAAAATACTTATCATATTCGCTTCTTTGGATTGTATTCTAGGGCTACTATTATCACTTCATGCACATTTTATGTAGGCAATGAGGTGACAAAAATACTTTTTTCACAAATGCATGAATGGAATTTAAAGATGCTAGTACATAATTTGGTTACCTATTTATATTATCCTTCCAAAGAGTTACTAGGGCTGCTAGCAATCACAAAACTATAAGAGTGTTTACTAAGCAAAATTTCTCCACTTTTACATCATATCTCGTATATATCATATTTTGTCCTTCTTTTAATAATGGCTACTTCATTTATAATCAGTATCCTCCAAACCATCCGCTTTAAGTGTAATTATAATAACTACCTAAGGTTATGCTAAACTCTTATAAATAACCTTTACATCCACAAAGAAAATGAAAAGGGAGATTAATCTAAATCGCTGCTTATCTTGCATTTGCTGCTATCTTGCGCTTAAAGCCCAACCTATTATTTAAGTTTTACCTATATAAATCTTATAAATCAACTTTTCACAAGAATATCATATTAAAAGCTTATTATGTTTGTTAGGATGTTCTTAAACAGCTAAAATAGTCTTTTCTATTTCTGAATTGAACTAACTCACACTTTGAGAATTGCTACTATTTAAAACCAGGAGAGTTTGTCATTGATTCTGCTAAATATTTTGATCTTGGCCCATCTGCAATTACATTCATAGGTATTTTATAGAGAGAGTATGACCTGATATAAATGAGTCTTGAAGATTAAGTATGGTATAACAGCCAACTTTATTGAATTGCCATTCCACTTCTATCTAAAGATACTTTCAACATATCCAAAAATAACTTTACCTCCTCTTACATCAGATCTTCAGGGTAGTGATTTTGAAGATGACTTCATAGTTGTACTTTAAGCAAGATTTTATTTGTTGCATATATAAAGACATCCTTATTCATTAAACTTGTGTTGTCGTTAGCAATTATATTTATTGATTTAATTGAGCCCTGTCAATGTCAAACTTTGTTACAAGATGCTGAGCGTTAACTCAAATGCAAATCCTTTCAAAATCTCAATCGTGCACAGCAACTATTAAATTAAGAAGGAGTTATATCATGTTAGTGTAAGTGGATGGCCTACCCTAGAGAGAATATGCCATTGTTCACCTCTATATTTTCAAATTCTTCTGATTATACTCATAGTCCACTTTATTAGTCTCCTAAGTTATGTCACTACATTTAGTTATTGTGTTATGCATTATTCAAGTAGTCCAATTTATTAAGACTTTATTTGTTTGACTTACTTCTTCTTATGAAAATCATCCAAATGCTTAGCCATCTTTATTATTATTGTCTTTCCCTCATAAGGATGCTAATTAGATAAATTAATTCTTCTTGTCTAATCTTCTAATCAATCTCAAACCTTATTTATACAGGATTTTGTGTATTTTGTAGCTTGTAAGCCACACCTTATTCTTCATGTTGACCTTAAAATTGTTGTTCGTCATGTTCTAATGGTATTAATAATTTCGCCCCTCACGCGCAACATATTTATACACTTACTTAACAATAAAAACATTTGCTTGATTTTCTAAACTCTGATGCTTGCATTTCAAGTTCTTCACGACTTTTTGCTAGTTTTGTAAAATAGAGCGTGTTCATTACGCGTATTCTTCTTTTTAGAGTTAAGAAACACAAATACATGAAAGTGTTAGTTTTCAACTTGCGATTATTGTGAAAGTGATGTACTAATATTTTACTGGATAAATGTTCTTTGTCTTTCCCTCTATTTAAAAATTAATTGCATCAAGTTGATGACTTAATTTTAGTAATCTGCTCATCATCCTGTAATCATAAATACATTTGGATGCAACTTTTATTCTAACTATTTATACCCGCACAATTAAATGATACTAAGAATTTATACTCTGGTATTGCTAGGAATTTATACGCCTAACCTTAAGCTGCCAGTCTTGCTTAATTATTAGATTTAATTTTATTTTAAACTATATATTTGCAGACGAACGAATGATGAATACATTTATGGTTATTTGGTTTAACTTGTAAGACTTCAAATACATTAGTAATGACCCCTGAATGTATCACCATTTTGTAGATTAACTTTTATGACTAAACTTGAAGAGACTATTTCCTTTGATTGGTTCATATTTTGCCTAACTTGCTAATTGAGGTAAATACTCATTATATATAATGAATAGTAGTTTTAATTTCTAAAACTGACTTTGTCAATGTAATAAGCATATAATAATTAATTGTTTCATCTTTGCTATAGATGTATTCTGATATAATTTATTACATAGGAGCTAATTTTATAAATGATTCTCTAATATTTTAAGTTGTATTAGCTAGTTATTTAGATAAATCTATGAAAAACTTCAAAGGCTTCACTGCATAGTAATAGCGTTATTTGTTCTGATTTTAATACTATCATCTACACAAAGAGATTGCTTTCTCTTAAATTCAGTATGACTAGTTCCTAGAGCAGATGTCCAAATTATTTTAAGCTTATTACTCCTTCTATATTATTTCTGATTAGAACTATGATTATAAATGCAATTATTGAACTACTATTACCTGATTTCTATACTGTAAGACATTATACATGAATTAGCAATCCATTCTGCTAGCTATGATGTATTGATGAGGAATTCTGTTTATTTTTTGTGGGTTTAATTTGAACCCAGAATCAGCTTCTGCTTGGTGTTGATGCTAATATTATTTCTCAACATATCATATTCTAAAAACGCTTCTTATTTCTGTAGCATACCAGGTCCTATTCATCATCACTTTAAACATCTACTTCTGATCTACTTCTTAACCTAGCAAATTTGAATGGTTTTTAATTTAATAGATCAAGGTTTAAGGCGATTGCAACTTAAACTTTTGTGATTTTGATGCATAAATGGTTAACTTAGATCGTGTTGCACTGTTCAAACTTTATGTGCATCTAAATATCCCTACATTGAATAATTTAGAAAATTGTATTACTACCATGAATAAGCTAAAACCAACCTTATAGTGATACTTGCCCACTTGTTTATAATAAGAATAAAATAATTGCGAGTAATTAACGAACTAATAATTAGCTTTTATGATTTATCACTTGAGTACTACTATGATTCATAGCATTTAATTATGTTTTTGGATTCAATTTAAAATTGAAATTGCAAATCTCCTAACTTAATATCAGGTATATGTATATTATGTCCCTATTATCAAAATGAAAGTCCAGGATAAAATGTTGCAACTTACAAACCACTGCTTCAATAAAATATGGTTTTGTGTCACTATTCATATAAAGAGTGATTTTGTCACTCTCTTTAACTGATAGTAGTCCTAATATACATGCTAATATTAAAGGTTGATGAGCGCTATTGTGATTAACATATAGTCATCCATGTGCATTCTCTGGAATTTAAACTTGATATTGAGAACTATAAGCACTTGCAGATGGATAGAGTATGTCACATGTTATAATTGAAATTCTTTTGCAAGAAGGGATAATATGAGGTAATTCAACTTGTAATCCATCCTAAAAGTCAATAACTTGAACTAATTCTTATAAATTTGTGTATCCCTATCTGATTGATATGTTTCATCTACTTCTCGACTAGTATAAATCAAAACTTATTAATATGTATGTTGTAACATTTCCTAAAAGTGCATAAGGTACAAAAGCTTGTGATTCATCTTGAGCATACTCAACAATGCACTTAATTTTGGATGTTATAGAGATATTTTTTATTAATCAATTCCGCTTACTACACAACCATGCTTTCATGTTGAATTGACACAGCGTTTTGCACTATCTTCTCTAATGCATTTGGCGGGAGTTTAACTAGTCTAATGGCAGATACCATATTGATTTATCTACCATTGCCATTCTATTAGGCCTTTGATGAACTTACCCATTTGAATAATGAACAGTTCTGCGAGTTATCCTGTTAATTATATTCTTATAATCTGATACAATAAGCCCTTATAATTTCCACAAACTAAATAAAATAAATTGAAAACTTCTTATTACAAAAAATGCATTTATTATTTGAACCACTTAGCTTACACTTATAGAGGATAGAACCAAATGTGGTTAGGGAATTTCTGGAAGCACAATTTTTTGAATATATCACATCTCCAACTGGTTTCTTCATAAAATAAAAGGGTATTTTGGTTTGATAGGTAAAGAAACTGTATTTGCAGTTAGTGAATCTCCGACCAGTCTTTAGTAAATAATTATGTTTTTGGTGAGCCTATTATATTAGTTGATAGAAGTCAGAGCTAAAATTAACACTTTTGCAGGGTATTAGAATGAGTAATGCAAATAACTTAATATTATTCTAACAATATGGAACTACATTCCTCAAATTAATTAATTCAACTACGTATACGGATATGAGGAAAGTTAAAGATCATACCAATACTCTAGACAATTGGATCTTTGAAGGAGAAAAAAGAGCACAGAGATTAAAATAATTTTCTTTGGGTGCATTCACTATCTTGGATGCAGAACTCAAAACTATGCATAGTTGGTTGTGAAATGAACTAGCATTTTTGAATTTAAGTCACATAAATGCTTGTTGCTAAGGAAGATTAGAAATATACAAGTGATATATTGCGGTAACTTTGAAAATCTTGAACTTAGAATGAAAACTTCCATATCTGCACCATTTTAAAGAAGAGATAATAGAATAAATTATCAATCTATCGATAGCTACTATTATGGCAATAGTACGACGTATAAAAATGTTCTAACAACTATCCCAGCTGCCTCAAGGACACCTTAATAATCCCTACCTTTTTATTGCGATAATTCAACAGCCACAAATAAGTGTGCTGAGTTTTTTGTTAATACTATTAATAACCTTTAAGCATTATCAACTTGTTGTTTATTAAGTATCCTGGATACACACGGAATGCATATGGGATTTACTAATAACCCATGTTCTCATTATAATCATCTTCCGCTTTTTAGAAATAAACATAGCTGAAAAAATGCTTCAACCTAGTGTGGTGATGCATGTGTGAATTTTTAATAACTTTGAAAAGCATATTCAGAGCTTTCATTTTAATTGAGGATTTTGTATTACTGTAAAATGCATCAGAACAATTTGTGACAGAATTCTTAATTTCAAAGGTGCTAAGTTGGTTTACTTTAAAATACGACACTTATCCTGGCTCCATACTAATTGTCTTCATTTGAAAAATACTCTTAGGTTTATACATTATGTGTATAAGGTAGATTCAGCTTTTCATTTGTGCACCACTTGTAAACCAACATCGACAAATATTTGAATAAGCACTTTTGTATAAGGAATATAAATTAAGAAAATGTTAAAGTAGGCCAAAGTACAGGTTCAATAATAGAAATTTATCTTTGCAAGTTATGCTCAACAAGATCAGCAAGTTTACTCAAAAACCAATACCTGCCACAAAGATATACTCCAGATAGAAAATGGCATAACTCTAGAATATCATCAAAATATATGCCAAGTTCACTAGCTGAAGGCAAATATACAAGTCTTATTGTTGATGTTCCAACTAGTGATAAATAGTTCAACATCATCTTTCAAACGACTTTTTTCAACTAAGATGG